TCGGCTTTATTGGATTTTTCGTAGAACTTTTGTTGTGTCCATTGTAGAGCCCTGGTGGCGTCCACTACCATTGCATTGTGTAGGGCCTGTCTTTGGTGTTGGAGTTGTGTGGTGAGGTCCGGGGTGGGGGTGACTTTATGTAGGGCTTCAAGGTCCCTGATGGCCGCTAGGATTTTCTCTATGTTAGCGAGGCGTCTTTTTGTGTGTGCTGTGGCTAAGCTAATAAGGGTACCCCTAATCACCGTTTTGTGTGCAGCCCATATGATTGCATTTGATTGTACTGTATCCTTGTTTGTAGCGAAGTAATGTTTGAGTTCTGTTGTGATTTGTTGTACCGTTTGGGGGTCGTTAAGTAGTGTCGGATTAAGTCTCCAGGACCAGGGTCTGGAGATTCGTGGGGGCTGGAACTTGAGTGCTATCTCGGCGTGGTCGGACCACGTTATGTTGCCTATGGAAGTCATTGTTATGAGCGGAAGTAGTGACGGGGAAACCAGGAAGTAGTCTATACGTGAGTATGTTTGGTGTGGGTGTGAATAAAAGGTGTAGTCTAGTGTGGAGGGATGCTGCAGTCTCCAGACATCTATCAGGTTGGTAGTGGAAATGAAGTCTGCCATGAATTTGTCGTTTCTGGTCGGTGCTGGAGTCTGAGGTGGTCGTTTGAGTCTATCTGCCTGTGGTTCAATCGCGGCGTTGAAATCTCCGCCTATAATCTGGTGGGCGTTTGGGTGTAAGCTGAGATGTGCACTTAGAGTAGGCCAGAATCCCGGGTCCGGGGTCGTGGGGCCATAGACCGAGGTGATCGCATATTTGGTTGGGCCTATTGAGCCCGCCACCGTAAGGAAGCGGCCGTTGGGGTCCCTGTGTGTGGTGGTGATCTGGAGGGGGCAAGTTTTCCTTAGGAGAATCGCCACTCCATTGTGTTTGCCTGAGTTGGAGTTGGCAAAGTAGCAAGCATGGAAGTGGCGGCTCAGGAGAGGGAAAGGCCGTGTGTCTGCATAGTGTGTCTCCTGTAGTAGGAGTATGTCAGCTTTACTGCGGTTTGCCCATCTCATGAGTCGGTGTCGCTTAGCGGGGTTATTCAGCCCTTTACAATTGATTGAGATGCACGTCAGACTAGCAGTCATGGTTGTGTGGTGGAGCGTGGTTCGCTATTACCTCCCCCCAGTGGTGGACGGTGTCCCGTGTGTCGAGATGTTGTGTCCGTCATGTGTCCTCCTGCTGAGACCATTTCAAACCATTGAACTAGGATTAACATTGAAAACCAAATAATACCTATACAACAGAAAAAAAAACGCCTGGTCTTATGGTGTGCGCCAGGTCAAATGGAGTGGGGTGTGTGGAGTCGTCCCCACCTGGTTGGATCTCGTGACCCCCGTACTGTGCTGAGTGGTGCATTGCACAGTTCAGTCTCCGTGTGCTTCCCGCTCTGGGCATAGGCGGGCTGTAATCAGTGCCCCGGGGTGGGTTCGCTCTGGGTCTTCCCCATCGGGTCTAGTGGGTTTGTGCCAGTGGACCAACATAGCTGCGTTGAGTTTGGCGATTCCCGGGGGAGCCACCAGGGCTTCCTGTCTCATTTAGTGAGAGTCGCCAATGGTACGTACCTCTCCCTTACCCCCCCCCATCCTTCCCATCCCATGTTTTCCTCCTCTCCTTTCCTTTTCCCCCCCGTCGTCCCCAGCTGCTCTAGCACCTGTCCTTCCCCCCTTTCTCCCCCCCCGTGTCAGGCCCTTTTCAGCGCCCTATAGTGTCCTCCCCATAACTATTTTGCGTCCCCTTAAACCTTAGTGAACCATGGCTAAAGTAGCGCCATCAGACACAGCGTAAAAGTATATGGTGGTGTGCGTTCTCGCACTCAGAAGTAGGTCAAACAGTTTGGAAGTCCCTTTAACTCTCTTAGGATAGTCTCTGCCAGTGAGTGGGTGAGTCCATGATGGGCTTGTTCCATGCCATTCAGGTGTCCCGGTCGCGAGTCTGCACCGATGTCTGCTGCTGGCGCTTGGGTGGTCGGTTCCGGGGTGTCCGAAGTTTTTCCCAGAGTGGCATCCTTTGTGGTCTGGCGTTGTCCACTGGTTTTCTGAATTGCGCTCGTGCGTCGGGTAAGCTGATGCCCAATGCGGCAGCGAAGGGGCCATTTTTGAGCTATCTTGCAGGACGTGTGTGCTCTCGTGTTGGCGGACTAGTAGCTTGAAGAGGTGTCCCCATCTGTATGGTATGTTGGCTTGTGCCAGTGCGCTGGTTAGGGGTTTGAGCTCTCTGCGTTTCATTAATGTGGTAGGTGAGACGTCTTGGTAAAACTGAAGAGTGATGGCGTCAAATTTTGGCGGAGTTTTTCGTGTGGCCGCCATGATGGCTTCTTTAACAGTAAAGTAGTGAAGGCGTACTATTACGTCTCGGGGCGCCATTTGGTTGTGGCTAGGAGGTTTGAGGGCTCTGTGCGCCTGGTCTATGGCGAGGTCTTGTGGCGTTGCCTCTGGAAGGATTGTAAGTAACAATTCGCGCAGCGTGGAGAGCAGCATGTCAGGCGTAACTGTTTCGGAGAGACCCCTGATCCTTATGTTGTTACGCCTAGAGCGATTATTTAGGTCTTCCATACCTGTCTCTAATTCATCCACTTTGTTCCTCAGTGTAGTGAGCTCAGCTTGGTGCATATTGAGGTTTTCCATGAGATCATCTGCCCTCTGCTCCACCTGCCCTGTCCTCTCCCCCAGGTCAGCCAGATCAGCCTTCAGGAGTTGCAGCTGTTTTCCAATTTCTGCTGCCATGTGTTTCTTTATATCTGCTGCAGCTTCTTGCAGCAGTAGTTGCAGGTCCCTCTTGGTGAGCGGTGTGGAAGCTGAGCCAGCTGCCTCACTGCGGTCTGAGTCTGAAGCGGAGTCTTCCCGCCGTTGTGGGGAAGATGGCGTCTGGCCTCGTGGGTGCCGGAACAGAGGGGCCACGGATGGCGGCTGTTCGTGCTTTTTCCGCCCCCCCCCCCATGTCCGCTGGCGGCTACAGGTGTTCCGGTATATGTGCTGCGCCTCTGGGGGTCCGTGCACTGATTGTGGCTGGGTTCGTAGCTGATTGAGTATGCCCGTCGGCGGGAGCTTTCGCGCTATGCGCCCATTTCAGCTCGCGGTCAGGCTCCGCCCCCCAGTTTTACTTACCTTTTATCCCTTGGAGCATTGGTCTTCAGTGTGCAGCTCAGCCTCTTAGCCAATCCAATGCTTTCCCATAAGAAGCTTTGGGAGGCTAGTGCGCATGTGCGACAAAACTCTGTTCTGCCCCAATCAGGTGATTTCTTTGTTTTCAGCTAATAAAATGTGAGCAGCATATTGCTCTCCTGTAGACGAATTTAGATAGATTGGGGGTCTGAGCACTGAAATGGCAGATTCAATTTAATGTAGAAAAATGCAATGTTATGCAATTCAGGTTATAGAAGTCACACGCAACTTAAACCCTTAATGGTAGTGAATTAGGGATAACAACACATAAATAGAATTTGCACATTTTTACAGACAGCTAGAGGGAAATAATGTATGAAGTCTCACTGGTACTAAGTACCATCGGTATATCATTTTCATGTGTTGTTCCAAGAGTGTAGCAGATTTGATAAATCGTCTTCCCACTGTTGTTGTGTAATCTCGTCTTTGAGTTTGTGTATCCACTGTTTCGCAGGTGTGGCTTCTGATAGTGGTGTGTTATTTAAACGTAACCAGTAGCACATGGAGATTGGCTTAAATGATGCAAGTAAACGTTTGTTGATACATATATTCTCCCAGATAGTGAGGGTGTTGTAGGGGTCCTTGAGGTTCGTTTTTATGCAAAAAGGATTGCAATTGTCTGTATGAGAATTGTGAGGTTTGTGGAATACTCATATAACTGGCACTCTGGGATAATACCCACCTTGCTTTTGGTACTTATTCAAATGTGCTTTTGTTTGTCTTGCAGTGAGGAGAGGCTTCTGTCTGACCAGTCTGCCATAAAGTTCAGATTGGTGGAGTTCTACAGTGATGGTTGTCTTTCCTCAAGTTTTTCCCATCTCTACACAATGTCTTTGGAGTGCACCCAGAGTCGCCATCATGTTCTTGGTCTCATCTCGCCTTCTCCACTGATTGGCCAGGCGGGCAGCTCTAGGAAGAGCTAGAATTATGGAGGCCACTGTGGTCTTAAGAAGCTTGGATGCAGCTAATTTATTTCACCCTTTGCAGATCTGTGCCTCCAAATTATGTCCTATTGAATTTGCCACTCGAGGGCTCCAATCAAAGTGTAAAAATGTCTCAAAGATGATCCAGAGAAATTGACTGCATCTGAGCTAAATTTCAAGTTTCATAGCAAAGTGTCTGAATATTTATGTCAATGTGATATATCTTTTTTTCCTGGTTAATATATTTGTAGTGATATAATAAAAATCTATTTTTTTTTTTTTGCTTTTTCATTGAGTGTAGATTAATTTAACATTTGTAGCATGAGTTTGCAACATAAAAATAAGAAAAATTAATGCAATGTATCTATTTGTATAAACATGTTCAGTGTGTTTTTGTGACATTTGTCCAAAGTTGGTTCATTTCTAACTGTTATTTTAAATTAAAAACAAGATCAGCAGCGTACAAACTGGCGCTTTGTGTCATTTTCTGTAACCAGCAAGAAATAAAAAGAGTCATACAACTAAAAATCTCAAATTAGATAAGCTTGTTTTTTTGGTCTATCAACCTCACTGAGAAATAGTGTCATTCAGATTTTAATTGTTTTTCTTTTTAATAAATTATATTTTAAAACAGTAAAAGAAGGTTAAATAACTGTGTAGCTAATACAGTCCAAGTCAGTACTTGTAAAACGCAGATACATAGGGTAGTAATAACCTTTTGATTAATAAACTTTTTTTAAAACTGTTTTTCACAGAAGGAACAAGGAAGAAAGAGAG